ATCCCGTACTCTATGATGAAGTAGCCGGTCTCAAAGAAGCACTTGAGAAGAAAGACGAAGAAGTTGAAGAATTGAAACTTGAGAACGCCGCAACAAAAGAGAGCCTTGAAGCATTGAAGGCTTTCATGAGGAGCAAATTCCCGGATTGTCAGTTTTAGATGTTTACGANGGTTTTAGTTTTTTATTTTAATTTACATTTTATTATGTTTAAAATACTTTAAAATACTTTAAATTACATTTTCAATTTATTTTTATCTTTTTTTTTTATAAATTATTTCGTAATTTAAATAATTAATAGATTAAATAATAAATACTTTAATTTTTTTTTTTAAAAAACCAAATCCGTAGGAAAACGGTCGGAAATTTCCGACGGTCTTGATGGTCGGAAAATTCCGACGGACATGACGGTCGGAAAATTCCGACGGACACGGCGGTCGGAAATTTCTGACGATACCGCCGGTCGGAAAATTCCGACGGCCATGACGGTCGGAACATTCTGACGGTCTTGACGGTCGGAAATTTCCGACGGTATTGCCGGTCAAAAAATTCTGACGGTATTTGCAACGACCCATATCGGTCGGAAATCCATCAGATATTTCCGACGGATTCCGACCAATCTTTCATTTCCGATCAAACTGTCCGTCGGAAACAGTCATGTTTTCTTGTAGTGTCCAAATTGTTCTTTCCATCAAAACAAGTATTTGTAAAATCATAAATGAACATGTATTGTTTTATCTTACTCTACATTATTTATTTTTTTTAGGTATGAATTACATTATCATATGATAACGTTTGGAAAGGTACCATTTTACTTATTAATTAATCTAATGAACTAAATTTTGTTAATTCTAGGTTTTAATCAAGAACACTATTGATTTTGTTACTTATTAATGCTAATAAACACTACTATTTGAACTAAATTTTGTTAAACCTAGGTTTTTTGCACCGAGGTTTCGCCAAACTGTAAAGCATGTCCCATGAAGTCACAGTGCAAGTATTTTGCAAGGTTAGAACTCTTTTTTTTTTCCTGTTGTCATTTTCTTAGAATAGATCAATCATAATCCCATTAAAAATCTCTGAAACTAAAACCATCAATACATGTGATTCATTATAAAGATTTTATTTGGTATTTTGTGTTTTTTTTTTCTTCAAGTTCCATTGATGGTGATGCAAACATGTCATCAATGATAAGTTCGGTAGAGGAATGTTCTTTAACTAAACAAACTGGCGAGCCAATTGTTGAGTTTCCTGAGGATAATTTATCATTGATGACATTGAAGATATTCCTCGCAAATGTGCTCCTCGCAGAAGTAGTCCTGGCACAAGTTCTTATGATGCATTGAAGAGGAGAAATGTAGATGTAGCGGATGTATCAAAAGCTGTATAATCTAATCTAATTTTTGTTCGTTTTGTAGTTATGTGCTTCTTGATGATCATGAGCTTCTCCACAATGTAAGTGTGTGTGTATATTACCTCTAGAATACTAAAACGTGGAACTCTTTTGTATGATCTCTTAAAAAACATTTTTTGTTACGTGTATTATAGTTTGAGAAAAGAGAAAGTGATGATCACCAGTACCTTCTTTTCATTTGGGAACCAGGTATGACAACTTTACTTACCATCGTCATCTACAAAGATAATTCACATTTTCATTGGATTACTTTTAGGTGAAATGTCGAATCCACCAATAGAACGATGTCAATGCAAGTCCACATGTTCTCTTTTAGAAGGAACAATATTGGTAAGTAGAATCTATATAAATTGACATTCTTAAATTGTTGATTTTGTTACACGGATAAGTGCATTTGCATTTGAACAGATTCCTTGCAGAACAACAGTGGGAGGAAGCTGTCCAATAAATGGAACTTATATTTTCAACCCAACGAGCAAGTTTTTCCGTCTAATTATCTAAGAGAAAAATGTATGCGTCGTTAGTGAGGTGATAAAGAACTCCTACAATATTTCCAGGTTTTTGCTGATTATGAGACCAGTATCAAACCTCTTGTCTTTTCTAGCCACTTGTGTGACGGGCTAGAAAAACGTGCCTTGTATTGCAGTTCATCAGTGACAGACATTTCTAAATCCTTGGATGAATCACTGATTCAGTTTTGGTTTGCCTTAGGTAACATTTAGTTTATTATTGAAAAAATTGTAGAATTGTTTTCTAAAATACCAAGCAATTAATGTCGTAGCAATGTGCAGGATTTGCATGTGTCAGAGCAATCAATCGAAATGATGGGACACCAAAGCCACTTGTGGAAAGACTGCATAAACAAAAATGACGACTACACATGTTTTATTTTCAGTCGTTTTTCAGTTTTAAGAAAGATTTAGAAGATAATCAAAGAATATAAAAACAAATGAGCTTGTATAAGTTTTTTGACATCTTTTGTTATGGCTATTAAATGATTTCACAAAATCTATGGCTATTATAAGATTTGAGAGCTATAAAAATCTCCGAGTTCATGAACGAGACGAGACAAAACATAACGATAGCTATCTTCCCTCAGTCTACTTGTTCATCATTTTACATAAAGATAGCTATATAAAGATAGACAAGGCCAGAAAAGACAAGTCTTCAAGTAAAGAGATGGAAAATAAAGATGATGTAAAAGAGTGTTCCGAAATGTCAAGAGTATACAAACTTATGTGGTGACGAAGATAGAGACCAAGAACATTCAGTGTATAGTATTTTTCTCCATTATAATTTGGCTATTGTCTCGTATTTAGTTGTGGCTGATTTTGGCTTCGGTGAGATTTTCTTTATCAATTGTTTTTTTCCTACGCTCTTATATGGACATGAAACCGTATCGTTTCCAATTGACATGAGATCTTGTCTGCTGCGATATGTCAAACGTACATTCAAACTGTAGTCTTTATCTTTCACTTCATCATATATAATTGCTAGTTAGACTTATGTGAGGAGAGGCTGTAACAGACGGACATATTGTTGGATCAATTTTGAAAAGGAAGCAAAAAAAAAAAGAGGAAAATTCAGTAGACCTTTTATGCATATAGAGAGTATGGAACCAAACAACATGTAATTTCCGTAAACAAATTATCTATGCCCACATACATTTTGAGGTCCAATTTCGACTGAAACTCTATCCATGATTTCTAAAATTTCAAATTGTCCAAATGATCAGAAAGCTGGAATAGTTCAGTTGGTTAGTGCGTGTGGCTGTTAACCACAAGGTCGGAGGGTTCGACCCCTCCTTCTAGCGTTTTTTATTTTTTATTAAGTGGACTTAAAGATCCAGTATTCCATACCCAATACTTTGAATTTGATTTTGTTTAAAATTTAAAGCAGTAATATTTTATTAAATAAGAGTAACAAACAATGAAGCCCCAAAGATTGAACCAGGTTGTTTCAGCTAAGAATGTTGGAGACCGGACCTGTGAACCAGTGGCGAGCGCTTAGAAGCCAGTACGAGAGGATTATGGCCAACACACCAGCCACTGCCACTGGAGTGTAGTTTAGTGTCTCTGCGGTTATGGGATACGCCACAGGAAGTGAGAAGAGGACGAGATGGTTGCAACCCACAAGACCGCCACCCACCCAACCACCATTCCGTACTTCCCCATGCTGAATGGTCCAGCCACATAGGTGTTACGCGATAACATCACTCTCAGAAGGATCGGGATTGTGTATGCTATGTACAGTCCAATCGTTGCTATTGACACCATTGCTTGGAACGCCACTATGCTCCCCAGTGACTGCCAACCATTTTATCTCATCAATAAAACAACATAAAGAAAGAGAGATTGAGAGAGACAAGGGCTTACGGTGAGGGCCATACAGAACGATATGGAAACAGAGAGCCAAACGGCATTGATGGGAACCTCTCTGCTGCTCACTTTGTGCCATAACGGTGACAATGGCATCGCTCCATCTCTCGAAAACGCATACGCCATCCTGATTAACCCAAATACATCAGCACACACTCCTAAATGCAGAGGATCGATGCTCCAAACAGATGGGGATACATACCTGGAATTGCTGGTGACAGAGCTCATGCTGCAGAAAAACACAGCAACCGCAACAATACCTAAGCACACGATTCCACCAGTGCCACTCCCAAACCTGTTCTTGAAAGCTAAGTAGAAGATCTCAGCAATGGCGTATCCACCAGAGTCGTTGGTCTCACTCAGAAGGTAAGGTATGTCTGTGACGGCATAGTTTATGCCCAATATACAAACCCATCCAAACAGAATTGAGATCCCAATTGCACTGATAATTCCTCTAGGCCCGTTCTTGTCTGCGTCGATAGTCTCCTCTGTCTGCAATTTTACTTGTTGTTCCATTATCAAGATCAAGAAAGGCTAATCATTCATTAAAAAAGGAGAATCCAAACTCACCATATGGGCAGAGGCATCATACCCTGTAATGGTGTACTGGCTCATGAGGAGGCCCAGAACGAATATGTAAGCGTAGCTGGTGATGCCAAGGCCATTGTCAGTGTTGAAATTGGTGAAGACAAAATGAGTGGTGGCTCTTTCCGTAGAAACCAAAGGAATAAGAATCATGAGAACCACAACCCCTGAAACAAACCCCAAAGAGATTTACTTCGCCTTAGTGTGTTGAGACAACAATGAAAGTCGAGAGGGAAGAGAAGGGTACGAGTATATTCCAGAGAGCAGCAAGCTGTCCGATGAAAGACAAGATGGAGATGGGGAGGCTGTTGAGAAGAGCATGGATGAAGAGGATTCCACCATGGAGGCCAATCATAACATAGTCGGATCCTTGATATCCGCCGCCGTTTTTACCGCCGGTGGAGAGAAGCACGATCACCTGAATCAGCTGTGCCAGTGAGAAATCAATGCTCGCCGTCACTGCCCACTGCAACAACACATCCAAAGTCAAAATCTACCAAGATGATTTACATTAGCAAATGTCACAATGTTTCATGTATAGGTCTGGTCAGAATGGTCGGTTATACTACACCAGACCTGACCAACGATGTTGAACCTGAAAGATTGTGAAAAAGCAATAAATTAATCAGAGAGACCAATCCCAATCCCAATTCCAATTCCAACTGATTGACAGAGAGAGAAGGAAGAAAGAGAAGAGTACCATCCGGTCATCCAGGAGGCAAGTGGAGCCCATCGTGGGCGGGCGAGCATAGCACTCCAGTAGTAGAGACCGCCGGAGGTTGGGTAAGAGGAGCAGATCTCAGCCATCGATAACCCCACACACATTGTGAAGGCGCCGGCCACGAACCATCCGTAGACAAGAGTCACGGTGCCGCCGAATCTCAAGCCGGTGTTGTAAGTGGTGGTGATACCAGTGAGGACCGAGATGATGGAGAAGGAGATGGCGAAATTGGAGAAGACCCTGAAATCCAATGTTATTTTAGCTCAGAGAGAAATTCAGATGAAGAAAAGGAAAGAGCGGAGAGACAGACGAGAGATCGCGCTTGAGTTCTTGCTTGTAGCCGAGCTCCTTGAGGCGGGCTTGGTCGGAATCAATGGATGGAATGGGAGCATTGTTGCTCTCTCCGACTCCGACTTCGGCTCCGATGGGTTGTTCCTTAGCTACTCTTATCAAGTGGGGGCGTCGTGGGTTAACTTGTCTAACTGTCTCTGAGTTTCCTCGATCCGAATTGCAGAGTTGGGTCTAGAGAGATTGCAGAGTTGCATAATTGGAGATTGCCTTTCTCATCCATTATACTGGTTTGAGGATTAGAGACTTAAATTATCACTAAAAGTTCAAACGCCAAATAGTTT